TGGCTACCAGAGATACACAAAATAAATACTCAAATTCTCTTTGGAAGAAAATGTGTAAACCAATCAGAAGCTGCTCTACTGTTTGAACTTCTCCAGGGAGACACGAACAAGTGTTTCTTCACCCCAGACAGGGCATCAACAAAAGACCAAAATCTGATTTCACTCAAGTCTAGCTTGGGAAATCAGTCAGTTTATTGGGCATCTATATGAGGCGCTCCTTACTGGAGCTTTGGTGACTCCCAGATAGCTATACCATCATAAAGGCTTGCCCTAGCATGAATGAGGGCTTCCTCCAGCAGCACAAATAGAGAGCCCTTTAAGTTAACCTGCCACACTTTATACACTCTAGTACCTTCCAAGATCTCTAAGACCTTAGCACACAGCTGGGAGAACAGTATAAGTGAGGGTCTAATGTGGCTGCTAGCAACTCTTCCTCTAGGAGGGTACATCAATAAGCCAAACCATGAGGGTCAGGTGCAAGCAGTCACAGCCGCTTGCATGAAGAGGCTAATGACAGTTACGCTCAGAGAACTTGCGTTCACAACAGTCACAGACCATAAGGGATGCTTGTAGGCAGAGGAACACGATAGTTAAATATCTTAACAAAAAAAGGAGTGAGGGAATTTCAGAACAAGAAAAGGACTTTAGAGTCTCTTTTTTAAGCCACACTGCCTTCTTTGGCTCTTTGGCTTCTTCGGTATTTTTTGGTCATTCTTATAGTTTCCTAGCATTTCTGTTCTGCAAATTGGTCCTACCCAGTGAGGCTGTAGCACAAGGTTGTAGTACAATGGCAATGTACTGTGGGGACCTGAATGTATGGTTACTCGGTCTGGTGAGAATCGAAGCTATTTTTAGCATATGTAGGAACTTTTTTAGCAGCTGTCACTGCCTGATATATTTCAGCGTTGCCTGTCAGAGGATCTGGTGAAGAAGAGCTATGATCGTAAAGCATCCTACATAGCATAGCCCTGTAGGCAATAGCTGTGAGTGGGGGATGCGCTCCCAGGGAAGAGATCAAGCCATGCCATTTCAGCAACTAGAAAAGCCAAATAGAGATGATTGGAACACGTTCTAGGATAGTCATAAATAATCAGAGTTGTGATGTGATAAACGAAAAACCCAGCAGGACATTTTCAGCAACACAATAATACAAATTAAATGTTTCTACTTGCGACTGATAGAACACTCAATAAGTGCATTACTACAAGTATAAGGCAATGTATAAATTCCACATAATTGAAACATTACATTGTAGCCTGATGAAGCTTTGAGGGAACAGTATGAAAGAAAGAAATTAAAATGGTCCATTCTTTAGAACTGCCTGATTTGGGGGAGTCATAACTTGATGCTATTTGTTATTTTTAATTTTTACATTAAAAAGTTAGGTAAAAACATTAAAACTCTGTAGCATCAGAATTGTCCTTAAGCTAACAGAATTGCATCAGTATTCCTGGCAGAAGTTGATTTCTTTTCATTGTAGAACTAGGTGTGACTTTGGGCTAGTTATCAGCCAGATGTACTCTTTGGCACCTAGAGGCCACCTGTGGCTTATTGCTACTCTGACTTTCCCCACTGTGGCGCTTACCGCATCCATTCAGCAAGGAGAATCCCTACTGCTAGAAAATGTACTGCCAAAATGGATTTTTATGTGGCGTAATAGGCATAGGACCCCTCACTTTTCCATAGTCCGTTTTTAAGAAGCCGTCACATCTGCTCCTCAGGAAGGGGTATTACATCAAAGCATGAGCATTGGGCAGGAATTCAGAGAAAATTAAACATAAATTTCTTCTTCTCCCAGGTGTCTCCATTGTTATCAATACTTTAGCACCATCTAAAAGCCCAAATGTTATTGTATACATCCATTATGTATGGAAGAGAGTCCTAAGGCGTACATAGTTAACTCCTACAGCACAGTTGCTCTTAATCTGTGTACTAAATGAAACCAAAAAGACAGGTTTATACCCCAAACATATGCAATATCCAGTGATAGGATAGAAACAATGTAAAAGCTATCAACAGTTTGATTTAAAAAAAAAAAAAAAAAGGAGATGGGTCAGGCATGGTGGCACCTCTCCGTAGTGCAAGCAGTGAGAAGGCAAGAGCATATGCATTGCATGCATTGTACCAAGCTGGTGGAGACCAGCGTGGTCTAGGCCAGAAGACCTACATATCAAGACTCTTTCTCTCCAGAGCAAAGGAGGTTCTCAAATCTTGCCAGATAATTGTTAAGAGTTCTTGTTTGTGTTCCAAGACCCTAGACCAAGTCTCTATCATCCTTCTTTTACTTAGTTTTAGCTTCAACCTTGCTTTAGGTTTTCCTTCATGTCATCACTAAGAACCAGAAACTGGAAACTTACTTGGGTCTTAATCCCTGCCATGCCAGGAGATAACCTGCCTTATTTTGGTGTCCAGAAAGACCCTTGAAAGGGCTTTGTTTGACACAGTTGATCCTTACATTAGATTCTGTGACTAAGATGGTATGCATGATTAGTCAACCTTAGACAAGCAACTAGTTCAAGAATTAAGCTTGGGATCACTTTTACTGGAACTAAAAGAACTTTAAAAGCTTACCCTATACCCACTAACGTGTTTAATTGTATAATGAAGAAAATGCTGTGGCACTGTGTTGTGAAGGAGAGATTTTCCTATCTAGTTTCAAGCAACCAAAATACTATGTACATGCAAATAGTATTCTAGTTTCTACTGAATCCCCTCCATTCCAACTTCTTCATTCATAAGAATTAGTACTCTCATTCATCTTATCATCTGCAAAGCAATTCCACCAGCGTCCTTTCTGAAAGAGGAAGACAAACCAGCTCTACACAGCATCCCTATCAGAGAAGTAGTCAATGCAGAGAAGTAATTTGATGAGAATATACCTCCTACTCAACCAGACAGCAGCTGCCGGTATTTATGATACCAAAGCAGGAGGCTGCAGCATGAGTAAGACTTTCACATCTCTCCTCACAGAAACATGAAATGTGGGGAGAGCCAGTAAAGGAAGGAATGCCCGGAATCCTAGCCAGAGCTCAGACCATTCCCTCAGATCCGCTGGGAGAGGTTCCATTCCCAACAGAAGCTCATCAGCGGGTTAGTACTCACATTTACTAATAAGATGACCTGTGAGTTCAAGGCCAGCCTAGTCTACATAGAAAATACTAGATCGGGTAGAGCTACTCTGACACTATTTCAAAAAAACCAAAGATTTAAAAAAAAAAGAAAGGAAAGAAAGAAGGAAGGAAGGAAGGAAGGAAGGAAGGAAGGAAGGAAGGAAGGAAAGAAGAGAGAGAGAGAGAGAGAGAGAGAGAGAGAGAGAGAGAGAGAGAGAGAACTAGTGCTTCCCTTACAAAAATCTGTGTGAACAGGTTGGAAAGCAAATGTTTACATATTTTATACAAATATGAGTATCTGTGAGGTTAAAACACTCCTGGAAAATTCTGTTTGGTAGTTGCCTGGCCATCAATATCTTTGAAGTCACCAATGGGACATGCAGAAGCTTAGATTTCTTGAAGGGAAAAGTATTGATTGTTTCCCTTATCTACACCTTTGGGGCTGGTTAACTCCTTCTTTTGTTTTGAGGCCACCAGAAATTTGACCTCCTTAGAGATGTTTTCTCTGGACCATCTAGTCTCTGAGTCTGTTCTCTCCTCTTTTATTTCAGTGTCTGGAACTTGTTTACCTGTGGAAGTGCATTGCAGTTCACACAGGGTATTTGTTAATTTTCTTGTTTTCTAAAACTTTCTCTAACCACACATTAAGATCCCTGATGCAGGGATGACTTCCTCTTGATTGTCACATTCCTTAGTTCCCAACATAATGTCTAGTATGTAGTAACCATCAGTGAATATTGGATGTACCAATGGGAAGAACACCTAACTCAATAGTTAAGACCTTGTCATTGTTCATAGAGGTTGTTCAAGGACCAGTTCTTTCTATGATCACATGGGGTAAGAGAAGCATTTTTCCCTATATGAAACCTAGAAAACAAGTAAACATAAATTGACTATATTATTTGATAACTTCAACATTATAAGTTCAAAATACTAAAGATTTTTTTCCTAGGGCACTTAAAATTTTCTCATTTTAAAATTATCTTCTATAATAAATATAACAGCTCTCACTTGAAAAACCAGTGTTACCAAAAGCATAAAATGAAAATGTTTAACTTCCTTTCAAACCTGTGCTTAATTCAACACAAGTCAATAAAACATTTTTCAAGGTCAAAAGGGACCCATGTTACATTCAGAAGTCAAGACATTGCATAGAAATATAACCTACATTGTACTTAATTTTAAAAACCAATGAATGCTTTATTCTGTGGTTAATGTGGTATAAAAATGAAGTCTTCTTTACATCCCAAGACCAAAGCAATGTAATGGCACAATAAAGGACATTTTGTTGTTGGTCTTGTTTGTTTTATTTTGTATAGTCTTCATATACCAGTAAAAATAAACTCTTTAATAAATAAATATATATAATAAATATTTGTAACTTGAAAATGTATAAATAGGTCCATTCTTCTAAAAGAAATGTTCCATCTTGGTGTGGCATGTTCTGTAGCTCAAAGTCATCTAGAATTTTGATTTTGTTGTTGTTGTTGTTGTTTTATGTATACTGTTATAACCTAAGATTTCTACAAGGTCCTCAGAATTTATGAGGCAGTAATTATGTCATCTTAATTCACTTCTTCAACATGAAGTATCTATCCTTAAGGTCACTGTCCAAGTAAACATTATTCAGAGAGGTGAGGCGTCAGCAGCATGGTTCACAGTATCCAGATTAACTGATTTCAGCTTCAGTCAATTGACATGACTGGGCCAAGGAATCTGAGGAAGTACAATCCATTTATGAAGATCTCGCTTTGCTTCGAGTTAATTCCTTGTTCTTGGTACTCTTCACCAATACAGTCTCTCGGTGAAAAACAGAATGCAATCTTCTGACTATCTTCTTCAGTGTTATCGAACAGGAATTGCAACTTAAAAATAATGGCTCTAAGTTCATCAAGTGTACATCAGCAGGTCTTTGTATAATTCTGGAACTCGTTCGGGGTCCACTGGTCTCGGTAAGAAATGAGTAAACTTCTGATGTCTTTTGGACCTGGCACCATCTCTTGGAGTTCCATCTTTGTTAAGCGCTACGAAGTACCGGCGGCCAGTGTCTCCGTGTTTATAGATGTTCGATGAATAGGTATTATACCAGTTCTCTTCAAACTGCTCCCTGAAGATGCATTCAGAAGTCAATTTCTCCTTTAAAAAAAAAGAAAAGAAATACAGCGTTTTAGAAATGCCTTCGAAATAAGTTCCCTATAAAAGTCTCAACTCTATATTATGTCTTTCCTTATAGAAAGACCCTTATCAAATTAAATTATAATGTTTTATTTTGATTTTGTTCAGAAATCGTGCACCATTTTTTCCTCTGTATTACTTCATCCAGTAGATTAGTTCAAGGAACTTTAAATAAATATTCCAATTCTAGATTTTATTTTCAAACATGCAATCGATACTTTTAGCTTTCCTGTGTTCTGTATTATCACTTCCTTGCCAACATCACCAAAAGGGTCTGTAGGTCATCTTGTCCCATCATGAGATATATGCCAAAGTCACTAACATGAAACCTCTGCTGTCAAGTTGAGAGAGTCAAGATTTTGCTCCAACTTAACTTCATAACTCAAGTTCATCACTTCACATTAGATAGCATCTTATAAATGTATTATTGAGTATGTTACTATTAATATCAAGAAAATGACGTAGAAATTCAATGGTTTCTTATATTTTCAAAATATTCTCTCTTGCTCTTTCTCTCTGTGTATGTGTATGTATGTGTATATATATATACATATATATATTAGAGAGAGAGACCACAATTGTTTTTTATGCTAACACATACCATAAACATTGTGTGCATGTACTTTCTCAAAATTCTATTTATTGTTTTGTAATTCTATCTCCAGATCACAACACATTGCATACTTTTTGTGTTTTCCCAGAGCTGACACCCAGTGTTCTATTTCTGGTAGGAAGGATCAAAATATAGAGGAATTGGAAAGACTCAAGAAAATGGACAGGAAGACCAGGGGAGATTATGGCAATAATGGTTGAAAATTTAAAAAGTAATATTGAATGACTATACTATGACCTCAACACACTTAAATTTAGACTATTGATTTCTAATTTTTACATATATGTGTAGAACTAAATAATTTGTCAGTCACATATAATATTGTCTACCAGACATTATGGATAGAAATTTTAATTAAGATCATTATTTCAAGAACTATAATAATAATTGAAAAATGATAATACATACTGATCCATAGAGTTCTCCTTTGTCATTCATTCCAAGGTAAAGACCGCTGTCCACACCTCTGATACTGACCAGTCCCACCGCCACACTGATGAACTCCAGGATACCTGAAGATATAAACAAAATAAAGATTTGGATCGATTAGTGAAATATAACTACAGGAAGGACAGTGATAAAGATCAACATTTTTAGGCATCCCACAAACAGATGGAAGGTACTGTCATTGTGGATGAATAGGTGACAGTTATTTCTGGTCTTGCATGGTTCTTCCACTTAATTATAAACATTTTCCATAAATTATTTTGATTTCATGTACAATAACCATACCAATCCCATATACTTAGTATGCGTATAGCATCTTAAAGCTTCTAAAAGGACTTCTTCTGGGCTGGAATGACGGCTCAACAATTAAGAGCACTTGCGGCTTGTGTTGATTTTTTTTCCTATCAACTTGACACAAGCTAGAGTCATCTCAGAAGAGGGAACCTCAATTGAGACAATGCTAATGGATTGGCCTGTGGACAAAGCCATAGTAATTTTCTTGATTGACGATTGATACTGAAAGGACCCCAGCCCATTAAGAGCAGTACGATCTCTGGGCAGCTAGTCCTAGGTGCTGTAAGAACGCAAACTTAGAAAGCCATAAGAAGCAAGGCAGTAAGTAGCATCCCTTCCTCCAGGTTCCTGACCTGACTTCCTTCAGTGAGGTCCTGGGAATTATAAGTAAAATACACCTTTTCCTTCCCCAGGTTCCTTTTGGTTCATGTTTTATAATAGTCATGGAAAACCCAACTAAGATATTATATTGACAGAGGACCCAGATTTAGTTCCCAGCACCCAGTTGGCAGAGAACAACCAGGTACACCTCTATTTCCAGAGGATCTGACGCCCTTTCTGGCTTCTATGGGCCCTGAAGTACACATGTAGTACAAGGGCATATATGCAGACAAAACACCCATACACATAGAATGAACATTTTAAAATAAAGAGCTAATAAGTTTGCCTCAATCTTAAAAAAAATCTCTGATGATTAGGAGGGAAGATATTTTTATTCCCATGCTAAAGAGAAACTGATGTTCAGAAATATTGACTGAAATGCCTTTGTAACTGATGTGACCTTTGTAACTGATGAAGACGGTGCTTTGTACTACATTTTCTGAGCCCTAACCTAATGGTTCTACCACACTACACGTGGAAATACAATAGTTTCTAGACTCTGTAGATTACAAAATGTGCCCTATCCTATTCCATGATGTATAAAAATAAAATGTACAGTTCAGAGAGATAATTCAGGCTTTATAATTCATTATATATAATGGCCAAATACCAAAAGTTTAGTATATAAATAGATTTTTCTATGCATAGCTTTTGGAGATGTTTTGATGTATTAAGAGATAAACTACCTTTGAAGGCCTTCGAATTAACACACTAACAACTACAGTTTAAAAAGATGCACGGTCTCTCTATGTGATGCCCTTTTTTGAAGTGCACATTAACCTTTGGCCTGATGATGCCTTTTTCTGGTTCTTTCCTTAGACCGCTGAACAAGGGTCACCCACCATACATACTCTGTTTGGTTCTGCCTTCATCAGTGGCTTTTTGCACTCACCCCATCCTAAGATTTACAAATAGCATAAATCCATTTCTGGATTTATTGTACAAGTTCCTCTTTGGGCACATGCTACTCCCAAAGCCAAGAGAAAGTACAGAATCTGACTGTTTGTTGATATGGAAAGCTCTATTCTACCCAGAGATTAATTTGCTATTTGCCAAAAGAAACAAACAAACAAAACATAGGTTTTTTTTTTTTTTTTTTTTTTTTTTTTTTTTTTTAGTAAGACAGGTGAGTTCTTTAAAACTATTAGGGCTTTCAGACTAGTAGAACTCTAGAGCTATCAGGGATCTTAATACACTACTAAACAGCCTGTAAAGGGCTTGAAAGAGCCAGTCTCCCTAAGAGGCTGGAGCAGGGAAGGGAAGGTCTAGACTCCACAGGACACAGCACAATGGCAAATGTGTACAGGAGGTTCAGGGGAAAATCACACTCACTGCCAAGCTTCTCAGTGAAGGATCCATGTTAGGAACAAAAATATAAACCTGAAACATAATTGGCCTAAATATATATAAATGGAATCTCACCCAGGATATAATTATGAATGTGTAATTACTTTAAATTATGTTGAATATTCACTCAAATTAAAAAGTATGTGTGGCTGTTGTGCACACAATGTTTCTACCCCAGGACACACTCCACCTACACATTAAATCTTATCTGAAGATAATGCTGTCCAAAATATGTAATTACATAAGTAAAAATGATTACACATGCCTTTAGAATAATTATATCCAATAGTTTTAACTTTATTAAACAACATGTAAAACCTTATGCATAATCAGGCATAAATGATTTTGCAATGGCTCATGGAACTGATGGGGAAAAGATTACGTGTGTTTCTGTGGCCCTCCTAAAGATTTTAGCCACACTTTAAAATTCTGATCCTTTTTCTCACCAAAGAAATAGTATACCACCTAGTAATTTGTAATCGTTTGATTCTTAAATGAGATTTGACAAGTCTTTCTTATTTATAATATGAGGTGGCAACTAAGCTAATTCTTTTCCAAAGAATAGACATGAAGCACTTTCCTTAAGAGGTAATCACAGATTTTAGGTAGATTTTCTAATGCCCAGTGTCCCATAAAAAGACTTGGAGGCCCTTTGTCTTTCTGGTATCGTTTTCAAAGCCAGCCTTTTCTCAAATCATAATAAACAGGTGAGTCAACCCGCAGTGCAACCACATCAGACAAATCTATAGAGAATAGAGGAGAATAAAGGGAAAGGCTTTAAATGAATATGTTTGATCTCAGGCTACACTCTTCTCTAAAGGAATGATTCTATGTTTACGTGTTAGGTAAAGTCTTCCTTCTATACTGCTGTGCAGAGAAACTCTGCAAGAGAGATTCAGCTAGCTCAGGTGGAATATTATCTTAGCCTCACTGAGAACCCTCTGTGCATGTTCAATTAATATGGCTTTAATTTTAAAAATTTGCGTTTTTATTTTTGTGTTCAAATTGTTATAAAATTATTGTAGTGCTATTTAATATTTCAAATGGCCATCCTTGAGGGTTTTTTTTTTCAGAATTCCTATTTTCATGTCACAGAAGTGAGTTTGTTTTTTTTTTTTCATTTAATACTTAGTTGTTAAGGCACTAGCAAAAGAGGATGAAGAAGCACATTGTGTTGCGTACATTAAAATTGACCTTGTCCCTTATCCTCTGGTAGTCAGTTGTGGTATCTAGGTCACTCAGAGCACTTTAAGGTATCATAAAGAGGCTGTTCCTTTAGGCTCAAATACTAATATAGGTTTTCTTCCTTTTATATAACAGTGATTATTTTGTTTTTCTACATAATCTGCCATCAAAGCATGACTTAAGCCAACATAGAATCAGAGTCATATTTTCCTAAACAATCATACAGCATATAAACTTTACAGTATACCAGCAAGAATATGCCACTCCCATTCCTAAAGGATCAGGTTTCAATACAGCTGAAGGTACCAAGTCAGCAAAGTATTCATTAATCTCTTCCAATAGAACCTGTCTTCTAAGGAGACAGGACACAGCAGGGGAAGAGGTGACACCTGCATTACAAGTGGCTTGTGGGAAGAATTCCCTTACTCCGTATCGGGGAGGGAAGTCGGATATTGCTTACATTTATCTCCCAGTGGCTTTGCCTGAAAGAGTTGCCACATTTGGGGAGACTTTCATGTTAAGAGTGGAGTGTAGCTGTCCTTAAAGGAAGAGAACTGGGCCACCTGGTGTCAGCAGATTCTTTAGGTTCACAATGTCAGGCTTCTCAATTAAAAAAAAAAAAAAAAAAAAACACTTTCCAAAAGTGACCTCAGGTTGGCCACTAGGTCATGACACCCTTGACTCATAGTCGGTGGGAATGGGAAGAGATCAGTGGAAGCTGCAAGCACGTGGGGTTTTTTTTTAAGTCTGTTTTCTAAGCCCTTAAGTGCTGCCAAATGACCACCACATGCTTATTCTCCCATCTAAGGTTACGCGCGATCCTGAAATGGAGATTTACACTTCTCCAAAGTTTTAATGAGCACTACAAGTGCAAAAAGAAGTGGGAGTGTAAGAACGAGATTGGGGATGAGACAAGAAAGAACTCAGCACCGAGAGGAGATTCTCAGGAAATTCCGTAAGGAAAAGAACGGTGTTGACAAATCAATGATATCATGTATTTTTTTTTTTAAACTATAACGACACCCTCCAGTGACATCACGGGTTAGATATGGAAAATCCCTTGAACATGTTAGCAGGTTAACTGATGAAAAGGAACAAACGTAGCCACAGGCGAGGGAAGTATCCCGGGATATTAGAATCAGAAGGTACCTTTAGCAAACCATCGGATTTAGCCTCTCTTGTGTGTTGTGCAGGCAAGAAAGCAGAACTTACACTGCGGGAGGGCGCTTGCTAGTTACCTGGCTGGCCCAGGAGTAATTAACAGTAGAAACTGTACTGATCTAATCTAGAATCGGCTTCATCCTATTAACCCCTTCTGCTCCTGGACACTGCTGTATATAGAAACGATTCTCTGTGTTCCCAGCCATATCTTCTTTCGCTTTCCCATTTCCTCTTACCTAGGGTCAATACCAAGATCTCTGCTTTCGAGTTTCGCAATTTCTAAAGGGAATCTTGGCCAGGGCGGCATGCTCGGTCCTTCTTCCTCCTCCCTCTCTCCATCTCCTTTCACCCTCCCCCACCCGCTAGGCAAGAGCTCAGGAAGCTGCAGTCAGGCAGTCGAACGGTAAAGATTCATATCCTGTTTAAGAACCATCCCTTCAGAGACACCGGAGGACTAGCCGCATAACAACCTGGATGCTTACCGTAACTAATTTAGAAAAAGTGGACACAGAATTATAAGTGTGTAAGGAAGGGAAGAGAACGCGATACAGGAACCTCTTAAAATAATAAAACTGCCTGAAAGGCAATACTGGGTGAGGGGGGAGAAGCGGTGTAAAACACGGTTCCTAGTCCAAGGCTTGGGGCCCCAGGCAGCAGAGAAAACAGAGCGACATCGTACCCCGGGGTGAGGTACCCACCCACGCTTTCTCCACCCACACTCTGTATGAGGAGCTAAGCTCCTCCAGGTCAGGGCAATTTCTCACAAGCCCAGAGCCTTGCACCTAGCACCAAATGGGTTCAGGGTCTCTGGCAGCACGCAGCCCAGGCGCATTCCGCCAGCTTGGAGTGGAGGAGGTGAGAAGAGAAGGGGAGTTTGGGGGCGCAAGGACAGGCTGTTTGTACCTACCGAAGAGACTGTGATCCTGCCGGGTGCCCTGCACGCTGCCGTCGGGCAGGATCTGCAGGTGGAAGCCGGTGCGGCAGTAAAGCTGCCGCCGGCGCAGGATGCCATGCAGGTGCGCCAGCTCCACGGAACCCGGCCCGCCGCCTCGGGCGCCCCTCTCCAGCGCGCCCCGCCGCTCGCCTAACAGAGGCGGCCGCTCCCCTGAAGGAGGCAGCAGGAAGTGTGACCCCACCTGCTGGCCCAAGCCCTCCAGGCCGCCCAAGAAAGCCCCGACTTCGGTTAAGGGAGCCATGGAGGGGCTGTACAGGAAGGCTGAAATTCCGGAAAATAAGAGAACCCCAATTTAAAAAAAAAAAAAAGTGTAGCGTGGGTGGCGAGGCTAATGCAGAAAAAAATTATAGCAAAATAGACACAAAAAGTTGAGGCTGGGTTACTTCTGTGAGGTCTCTGCAGGGACAGTGCACTGCACCGTCTTGGAAGCGATCTTCTCTCCTTGGGTAGGTGAGAGCTGGCTGCTGGCTTTGCAGAAACATCTAGAGCTGAGGTTGCTGATTTGGGGCTGGGGGCTGGGGCTCCAGCTCAGCAAACTGATCAGATCACAGTCCTGTGTACATACACTCCCGGTATATATGCGGGTCCTCTTGACATATGCTAATCAAGTCCTTTCATGCGCGCCTGGGAGGTTGGTTTTGTTTGAAATCTTAAACCAGCCTCCTCTCAACACGTTTTGCTTTTCGGAAGTGACTGAAGGAAGAAGCACTTGGAAAACTCATTCCTGCGCTTGGCCATAGTCAGTCAAAATCGGGGAGGCTCAGCCGACACCCCTGGTATTCTGGATTGTCTCTGGGACAACCACGGTGTTGTCTGGCCGCTCCTGTGCCACCTTTGAAGTGAGCTCATTTGCAGAGATAGAGACCAGGGAGAAGGAGCCCAGCTTGCAGAATACAGGAGGGGGGAGGGAGCACCGAAACGGAGATGGGTGGGAGGAGGAAAAAGAGAGTACAAGAGAATTGGACTCCTTGGGAGCTGCTGGGAGCCTGCAGTGGACAGGTGCAAAGAAAGGCAAGGAGGGAGAAGGGGAAAGGGCGTTACCCGAGGCTTAGGCCTGCCCAGACACACATGAAAGAAAAATCAAAGCTTTGACAGTTTAACGCACTAATTTTAAAACACTAATAAAATGTACAAGCATTACTTTTTTCTTTTATCATTTAGATGGGGGATTTTCTTTACATAATCAAGCTTAAGTTGGGAACACCCTGCCCCCCTTCTCGAGTTCTCTTTAATGTTTATCTTAACTCAGCAAATGATATAACCAGGATTGACTTATATCTATGTGGAACTCATAAATTGTGTGTGGAGGACGTGGGCTTCTCCTCAGAATAATAACATAGCGCAGTATAATTATGAATCGCAAGGCTACACGGACATTCAAATAGGCTGGTTCATACCCCTATAATTTGCTGTGAATACAAATAGTGACGTGAATGATAGAAGCCCCTGGGCCCTTATCCAGTCTGAGAGCACTTCTTTCTTCTTAGCGTAATTTCCTAGATGCTAACCTTATATTGGTTCTTGACGAGTGTCTGAGATTTCAAAAGTGACTGGTGAAATTTAAGAGTAACTAAACATATTTACAAAAGAAAATTTGACCTGAAGAAGTTAGACATATATCTACCTAAATGTTGAGACTCTATACGACTAGATAGCCTTAAGAGCTAGCTAGTGAGATGTGAAGTGGCAGAAAAGCTGAGATCACCGGTCAGATTTGTTCTTTCCCTACACAGAGAGTTTACAGAATAGCTAATATTAGAATCCCAGTCTTGTTTTGTGCTCTGTTCAGCAAAAGCCTAACCTTGGGAGCTCAGATGGATTTGACTGGTTTATTTTGTTTTCTCTAAATGTTGCCTCCTTCCACTGCTTCTCTTCTTCCTCCTCCTCCTCCTCCTCGCCCTCCTCATTCCCCCCCCTCCTCCCCTCCTCCTCCCTCTCCTTCAGATAATTGATTGGCAGGTGCTTTAAAGGAGGTAAAGTTACACTTTTTTGTCACCACAGGCCTAACTACTGACCCTTGTGGGACCAGGCTATAAAAGAGTCCTTAAAGCAAGTGATTTACCTTTGATAGACACAAAATAAAACAAAAGCCCAGGCTATAAACAGCCAGCAGATTAATTACTTGAGAAACAGATCGATAAGTCTTGCTTAGAGGTTGTACCAGGTAAGTGTCTTCTTATTTTACCTTTGCAATAACAGCAGCCTGCTTTGTGGCGGGACCCCCAAATCCACCCTAATCAAGATTTCAAAGCACATCTGTGTAAACATTATCACACCCGTGTAAAGCATCAACCAATGAGCTTTTACTTTGAACCAAATCTTTTTAATTGCAGTGTTAAATCAAAGAAAGTTAGATCAAAGTTGTGCGAATCTCCTAGCGGGATAGCTCGGGCAGCCAGAACATACATTGATCACTTTTAAAGAGGGGGTGCTTGAAGGTTTTAAACTGAGATTAAGTGCCTTTTAATGAGGTTTGTTTCAAGATCTAAGTTCTACGCTACATATAACACTGTTAATATTCCACAAGGAATATATTGTTGCCACCTGCTCCTAGAAGTATTCGCTTAGTATGTATTTCCTCACATGAACACTTTCAGTCATGGTGTGTAATTTATAGCTATTAGAATTCTTAAATCTCTTGTATTGCGCAGGTGTGTGCGCACACACATACTCACACACACACACACACACACACACACACACACACACACACACACACATCTCCCTTGTCTTTATGTACCTTAGCATTTTTGTGTGGTTCCTATAGCACCAATAACCCAAAAAGAAAAGCATAATCAGTCATTGAGGAGGAAAGTCGTGTATTCTGTTGGGTTTTAGTTCAGAGTCTAACATCCTTTCTTTGTAGAATAAAGACAGCAGACTCCATAGTTCGCTGTACTCAGGGTTGCTACGAGACATAAACGTGAAAATACACATTGGGAAGAGGTTTAAAACTATAAGGCTTCCTCTGTGTGTAAAGGCTTGCACAACTTCAATTGTTGAGCAGGGTTTTGGGTGTTTTTATTTTATAATTCAGCAAATGCAATTTGTCTGAAATGCAAAATAAACCTTTTAAAAAAGGAAAAAAAAAAACCAAAGCTTTAATGTGTAAGTTTTTGAATGGTGCTTACTGCTATTTTATAAAAGACCAGAATAGAAACAAAAAGATAAGGATTTCTTTTGTTTGTTCTAGTCACGTGACAGGAAAAGATAACGTTAAAGATTTTTTTTTGCACATACTGTGATGATATCATGAAAGTTAAATAATTTTGAAGAGTGTTTTACAAGGGTACATTATTCAACGTTTAAGTATACATTGCAATCTAATCAACCTTACCTATGCTTCCTAGAGACCCCACTTACCCTGCTGTTACTCAAATATATGGCATGACTTCTACTTACACAAAATGTAGTTTCAGTTTTGCAGACCATGCCATCCGACACACCTTTTCAGTTAGCATAGTCTCATAAACATTTGTTTTTATAGATTCAATGACTCTATATGGACTTCACTTGAGAAAAAAATTGGCTCACTTAAAAGTCATGATTGACACCTTAAATAAAACAAAAATCCCTATGTGTATCATTATCCATTAAGTATAATTATAAAACGTTGGTAGCAACATAAATTGCTGTATATAATAAACTGATAGAATAAATTATGATAAAAATAATGAGACATTATATAGATCATTAAAAATGAGAATGCTACATAAAGAAATATCCATTATCCTTAGAATATGATATAAATTTAAAAAGATTTATATACAGAACGCTCTCCTTTCTATAAGACAGAAAGTAAAAAGGAAGTTTACGCATGTATGCTTATAAAAATAAATGAATTGGAAACCAATAAAACTTGTTACGGGACAAACTAGAGAGATGGGAAGGAAGAGTGGAAACACTCCTCCGAGAACTTTTTACAGAACTTTGACTTTTTTATAAAGTAAAATAAAATAAGTAGAGATGGTTGGGGTGGAATAGAGACGGGAACAAAAGAACCTAGCTGTATAGGTTGAAGCAGATAGAATGACAAATGCACACAAAACAGGCACTGCTTCCAGAACATGAGCAGCTCCGTAAGGCAGTTTGTTGGTTATATAATCCCATTCCAAGCACGTAAATAAATAAATATCGAACAACAGAATGCTTCTTTTTCCCAGCAGTACAAGTTAGAGAAGGGGAGGACTGAAAGATGGACAGATACACCGAGGGCAGGGGAGGGGCTTACATTAGTAGGAACCAGAGGCTAGAATTGATTCAGTGGTGTTGAATTACAAGTGGTTACTCTCTCTCTCTCTCTCTCTCTCTCTCTCTCTCTCTCTCTCTCTCTCTCTCTCTCTCTCTCCCCCCCCCCCCCCCCCCCCCCCCCCCACTCTAAAGAGTGTGTGTGTGTATTCTATCCACTATAAAGGGCCTGAATGCAAACATATGCCCAGGCAATGAACATACCTAACATCTACACCTTGGTCTTTTAATTTATTCACATCCTGAAATGATTGGGAAGCTTAAAGAGATTATCCCTTTGGGTCTAAGACTGGGGCATCTTTTTGGTGCCAGCAAGCAAGGAAAGAGAGAAAAATTATAAGAATATAAGAAAGGGATATTACGTTTAATCTATGACAATCTGAGCGTCAAAATAGATGATAGAATAATATGTTTAGAGGACAAAATAAGAATATTCGCAGGCAACTGTTTAAGGAAACAGTCGATGATAAAAGGAAATTTTATAAAATAAAAGGGGAAGAATACCAACTAAAGAGCAAACAAATTATGGAATTAGAGAAAGATCATTTTTATTTTGGGGGTTTTGTTTTTCTTTGTTTTGTTTTGTTTCGAGACAGGGTTTTTCTGTAGCTTTGGAGCCTATCCTGGAACTAGCTCTTGTAGACCAGGCTGGCCTCGAAATCACAGCGATCTGCCCTCATCTGCATCCCAAGTGCTGGGAATAAAGGCGTGCGCCACCCGGTGAGAAAGATCATCTTTTTAAAAATAAGAACAGTGCCAGTACAGACACGATCAGTGCATAGTAAAGTTCGATGGTAAGTTTTGATTAAAACTAGCAATGACAAAGACAACTGAAGAATGGGGGGGGGGGGCAGGGGGAATGAAGCATATCTATTACACAGAGAACAGCAACTATAGTACATTAATCTAGTGACTATTGTTCTACCTGAGCAAGAAACACAGCGACGTGACTGATAAATCTCGTTTTCCTCTTACCCCTGTACTATACAGTTA